AAGGTGGTTTGAATGTTGGGGGTGACTGCTGTAAAGTTGAAGCATGAGTGAAGAGGACCAAACACGAAAAGCCAGTTTGAAATAAGAACAATTAAAGCATTTTGGTCACAGTCCTACTTCATACACGCAGACTAGATAAAATAATCAGCTGCAAACCTAAAAATAAACTTCAGTTAAACAAACAACCACGTACCTGATTAACATACAGTTATCCGATGCTGCTGTAGCGCTGAAGCTGTACAGTAGGCCGTTAGGGAGATGTGATATGATCTCCCAGTCTGTCAGCGAGGAAACCACCAGTAAATATTTAATCAGCAATTTAGTTTGCCTTTCAAATATTCATGAAATCTAATCAACTTAATCACGGTGTGATCGTTATTTCACAGCGTAATGAAACTCCCCGCCAGTTCACTCAAGTGTGTCCAGGGTGGCTGACTTCACGCCGTCGCTCTTTAAAACAATAAAACTGAGACACACACACACGCACACGCACACACACACCTAAAGATGCAGGCACACATGCATCACATAAAAAACAATGTAGCTGACTAGGAAAGGAGAAGGGAAACCAATAATTAAAAAGATTTGCGTGAAAGGAAGCAAAAAAAGGAAAGAAGGAAGGATAGAAGTAAGAAAAGAACAAAGGAAGGCTAAAAGAAGGAAGGATATAAACACAATGAAAGAAGGAAGAAGACAGAACGTAGGATAAATATAGAGAAGAAAAAATGAAGGACAAAGGCAGAATGATAGATAATTGTAGTTGAGAATAAAAGGAACAAATAAAGGACAGAAGGAAGGAACAAAGGAAGCTGCATTGTTTTTCAGCTTTGCTGTTATTCTGCCCCCTGGTGGCTAAAAAGCCACATAAAGCAGCTTTAAAGATTATTGGACAGTTTTTGTACAAAAAAGGAAACAAGATAATCAATATGAAAGATATATTCAACTTCACACTAAACAGACTCATAAATTATTGACACCATCAGCCATAACTCTGACTTTACAGGAGCTGTTTCCCATTTTTAGAAATACATTTATTCCCTTTCTTGCCAGGAGTTAGTCAATAAGACTCTTGGGGGGCCGAGCTAGCTGTCCTCCCGCAGAGCTTCCAGTCTTTATGCAAAACTAAATGTGCAGCTGGGAGTTTTGCATACTGATGTGAGCGGGCTATGAGTCTGCTATTTTATTATCTGAGTATTTTCTTTTTTATGTTACAGCTTCTTCAGATGTTTGGTTTGGGCTTTAAGTAGTTTCCAGAAGTTCTCCCCTGAAGGCGAGATGACGCCAGAGGCATCAGATGGATTGGAGTACCCTTGGAGCATTAATTTTTACAAAACTTCTCAAGAGTTTATTTTATTCATCTCAAACTGATTAACTTTTCTGCAGTTTTGAGATGAAGTTGAGCACGTACCAGTAGATTTGATCCCATGTTGGTGAGGGAGAGCAGGAAGTAACATTATGAAGTGTATACACACATGCGCCTCAGAGGAGATCCTGCAGCTTTCTGCTGTGTGCAACAAAATATTATAATATGGCAAGAAATGATAACGTGTACAGCTTCTCCTCCTGCCGTTTCCCGACATCCAATCTGATAAGATGAGATAAAGTGGATGTGAGACTTTAGCATCACGCAGACACAACAGAGAGGCTATTACTGCGTCTGATGAAAAACAGATAGATTGCACTGTATTCCAGCCTGTGGCTAAGATCCCACAGGGCAGGCAGAATGAGGTGCTCTCCAAAATGAGCTCGACTTCGCCGCAAATAGGACACAGCAGCTTCCCCGTGTTCTCCTCGGGCCAAGCATTACTCTGTACATTAGATCCATCTCACCGTTCCTCTGTGGAGAGCTGCAGCAGCATGTACGGGATAAACGGAGGTGTATTGTTGTGTCACCTGGAAACATCCCGTGTTATAGAATTAGCATATTTATGCTTCACAGTCCTCAGTTTCTTTGTCTGGCTTTAACCTGGATTTAATTCTCCACAGTTTTAAACGTGCTGTTTAATTCAGTTTAAAGCTTCTTAACGTGGGATTCTTCAGTGACTGTGGTCATTGTTGGATTCTTGTTGCTTCGCATTAATTACTGTTTTATTGATACGCATGCAAACACACACACACACACACACACACACACACACACACAC